GTCCCTCTCTGTAAACAGACTTGAGAACGCCGGCTACAGCCATGGGTGGGGCTTCTACATCACTCGGACGCTTGCCTATGGGGGATTCACTTAGCTCGTGGGACGCCAGAGCCGTCTCGAAGGCGTCTGGCGAGTTGAGCATGAGGTCCACCGTACCCAGCAGGAAATCCTCCNTGTATTCTGGGCTGTGCGCGGGGGTGAACTCCTGTTTGATGCAGTACTTCCGGCACACCCTGCCGAACTCTCCCTCAAAAAACTCTCCTCCGTCGTCAGATCTCACGACCATAACATCGGACGGGGCACCGTCTGCCCGGTTTTCGGCAAGGTACCTCTCGAATGCCTCAGCTGCGTCTGATTTGTGCTTCAGGAAATAGACACGGTTCCACCTTGTGTAATCATCCTTGACAATGAGAGTGTACCACTTTCCCCCCAAGCTCTGCACCCTAGCTTTTCCACTCAAATCCACGAAAACTCGCTGCAGTTTCTTAACTGCTCGGGTCGACGTTTTGTTGGGGATGGGCTTGGAAAGCCCCTTCGCCGTCGAGCACCCCAGGCACTCCCGGAGCTCGCCCACCAGCGTCGTCCCTTNGTGCTCGGGGTCAACGTGTTGTTGGGGATGGGCTTGCCAAGCCCCTTCGCCGTCGAGCACCCCAGGCACTCCCGGAGCTCGCCCACCAGCGTCGTCCCTTGCTGCTTCGCCGTGGTCCTCAGCAGCACCTCGTGGGAGTGGCCGTGCGCGCAGTGGAAATCGTTGATGTCAACGGGGGTGCTGGGCGCTTTCGCGTTGCCAGGAGCAATTGCGGCACAGGCATGTTCGGTGTGTGTGCGGAAACCGTTTTGGACGTACAGGATACCGCATCGCAGGAAGCACACCACCTCCCCCCCCCCTCTCTCCAACTCCAGCTCGTGTTTATTGAGGGTTTTGGTTTCGAACCCGTCGTCGAAGGGGGAAGTGAGAGATACTAGGTTGTAGTCTAGTCGGGGAACCGTCACGTCGCCATACCCTACGATAGGGAAGGTTTCTCCGGCGGCGACGCGCACACGTCGATCACACTCTTCGTAACGAACGAACCCATCTGAGTTCGCGAACATGTGGGTGGTAGCGCCGGTATCGGCGACATACCTACCCCGCCTAGCCTGCTCTACACCCCCTCGATCAACGACTCTGTGACACTCGCCTGAGATGTCACCGACCACCAGCACTTCTTCTTCCACGTCCAGTGCTGTGGCGTCCGCAGACGCTCCCCCCGCCGGCACTTCCACCACGAGCACCGCCTCTTCGG